CATGTCTTAAAAAAAAAGCAACAAGGAATTTTTTAATGAATTTTTTATATTACTAGTGCACAACATAAAAATATTAAAATGTCCATAGATTTCAGAGATGAATTTCCAACCGCATCCAAAGTACACACAACCTATGCCAATTTTGAGTGGCACCCTAATAGTTGAGTTTCTTTTAACCCGGAGATACATCTCCGAAAACTGTTTGTGAATGCATCTCCGTAACATATATGCACCAGAAACAGAAGCAGAAAACCAGAAATTTGTATTTTTACAAAATAAAATTATCATTTATAATATAAAATCAACATTACATAAGTGATTTCAACATAAAATGAAACATTACATTTCAATATCCAGGTGGACACTTCAACATCTTCACAATATCTTTGATTGATCTTGAAATCGTCACTTCCAACTCAAGCAACATTTTTGTTTCGGAATGAAAATATATATTTCATAGAGCCCTTACGTCTACACCCGTTTTGAACTCATAGTTGTTGAATTCAATCTTGCCTTCGTTGTTAATTGACGGCGAATGGTACTTGTGCTTCACAATTTTTCGATTATCTCCATAAGGTAGGATATTAAGCATATCGTATTGCAGATTTGCAAAAAAAAGCGTATTCATTATGCTTAAACTTTCGACTGGGTGTCGCGTTGGAGAATGAGACATTTGCGACGATATACGAAATGATTCTTATTTGTGCCATTTGATACATTTTTTGTTTGTATGAAATAAAAAACAAGAGCCCTTAATTTATAGAAGTTATAGAAAAACGTGGACCTCAAAAATTCTATCAAGCTGCTGGTTTCGGAGATACATTTCTGATACCTCCCTATTATCTTATTCTGGAGATACATCTCCAACACCTCTCTTGAACCAGGCAGAAAACAGAACATGTGTGTTTTGTTTGGAAAATGAACGAATGCTTTGGAAGATATCATAAATGTATTAAAATATTTGAAATTATATATATTACACTTCATTAATATTAATACGCGACTACATAAAGTTAATTGATGAAGAAAAAATAAAATGAATCAAAAAATTTGTCGTAGGCTAAATCTATAAGTATGAATAGTATCGCATTTGACTTTGTGCATTTGATTCTCTTTCAATGTTGCTCAATTTCTCAAAATCTTGCATCTTTTCCATAAAATGGTCCGACCAAGTCTCGACTTTTGTTGTTGAATGAGTTGTCAACTCTAGTGATGTAAGTGGTATGTAGCATCCCGGTTTCAAGTAAACTTGAACAAAGTGTTGTGATTTTGAAAGTCACCTAATACACATAATATGAACATTTGGATTTTGAGGTGGGACAATGCACATTGGAAAAAAGGCTTCCAAAAAATCGTATCTTGTAAGATCAATACACTCCATCACACACACATGCTATGTGATGATCCATTTCAGAGAAACACATCCATTTTTTCTCCGGTGTCGGTCCACTAATGCATGGTACAAAAGACTCATAAATTGCATCAACGTTTTCTTTCTTTCCATAAAGTTGTCTGTATGATTCTTTATGGGTCCTAACCTCATGGATAAGTTGATGGCATACAAGTGTGTGGTTATCTTTTTCTTTACCGAGTAAATCTGAAGCAACTCGATAACCACAATTATTGTAACCCTCAAAATTGACGATCTGCTCGATGTATTCGTGCATAAAAACTGGCATCTCGTCAATGAATGAAATCTCTAGCGAAGGTGGTGAAGGAGGTGGTTTTCTAATGCGAGCTCCTTTAAAAACACTTTTATGAGATTTTGGATTTGGTGAGTCCAAACAACTTTGTTAACATGTCCAAAATACGAATGAGACTGCACCGTTAATTGTTACTTGGTGTAGGTTTGATCTTCTTCGGAGCACCTTTTGTTTTTACCAGTTTAGAGGGTGGTTTCAAGTTAGTGGTTTCTGGATAAGAAATCTTTCTGGATAAGAAATCTTTCAAGTTAGTGGCGTTTTATATTGTCACCGGCTTTCAAAAATCTCTCTTGCATCACTTCCTTCAGTCAAGATAGAGATATTCGATTTACTGTCTTTCACGACACCAACATCATTAAACCTAAGCCTTTTCTAACGAATACAAACTTCACCCATTCTTAACGCACTACCAAGTTTCACCTTCTTTGCAATAAGACAAGCACATGGTAGACCATAGGTTCTTACAATTGTGCATCCACACTTTACGTTATCGGAGCCTACATTATCAGCTCATTTATTCCCGTGAAAAATATAATTCAAATTTGCTCGAGATATGTTACCGACCAAAGGAAATTAATTTTAACATTACTTATTTACTGAAGTAGCCATATGTCAGTGTAAATTTTTTTGAAATGAAAGAGCATTATAAAAATTGTTGTCTTTATATCTGTGCTCAAAAATTGTGATGCTCCGACCAAATGATGTTTGTATCTCATTATGCTGGTTCTGAATCATTTGGTTCACGGAGTCCCAATATCTACACAAATCACCCTTATTATTTTCCAATCAATTCTTCAATGTAGTATGAGCAGACTCAACTTGGTTTGTTGTTGTATTTCTAAAGTGTCTGACATGAACGGTCCATGCACATAAAATTTTCTCATACACCTGGTCAAGAATTGTCCTTTCAACACATTTCAACAAATCTGGATATTTCTCGCACACTTTCCTGAAATGTATAATGAAATCGACATATAACTCTTTAGTAGAAAAGTTTATTATAACATTTCATGCATCCATTATATTTTCCACCATCACACTCACTTTCACCATTTTTCCATTTCCGGCTTTTATCTATTTCATCCCTACCGTGAGTTTAACCCGAATTCTCACATTCTGTGTTATGTGATACCTAGAAAGTAATGCATAAGAAGTAGGAAATACCTTTGCAACCAAATTTATCAAAGTAGTATCGCAGTCGGTAACAATCACTTTAGGTATCTCTTCTTGGTCCTTCAATATTGTCTGACATACCTCTAAGGCCCAAGTAACATTCTCCTATTTTCCGCTCTCTAGAAATGTAAACCTAACAGAATAAGTCTTCTCAGTAGAGGTAACACCAATCATCTCCAATAATGGAAGTTTGTATATGTTGGTCTTGTGCGTTGAATCAATGATGAGCACAATAGAAAACATGTTGAACAACTTGGTGGAATCATGATCAGTCCAAAATATATCTCTAACGGTTACTCTATCCTCGCACGTTACGTAACTAGACACATAATTGTTATCATTCAACAATTTCAAGAGTTGTTGCATTTCAGTTCTATCACCCTTCAAAACCTTGTTAGTTTGGTACTGAATATTATATACTTACCTGATATTTGAGATATTTTCGGGACTTTTACGTTTCAAAGTTGCAAGTATGCTTTTCAGTTAAACCAAATTTAATGTCACGTCTGAAACACATTCCTTTACTTCAGGCATGAGGCGATACACAATTAGATGACCAACTAGTTTTTCACACAAGTCACGGTCATGTAAACCACATATGACATTGAATCTCCATTTCTTATTTTCCAACATATAACCACACAACTTAAAGAGACACTCAAATTTTCTTGAATCGATATTATCTCATTTAAAATTTCGGAGAGGAGGCCTATATTTTCCACTTTTGTCGCATGCCATTGTCACAAATGTACATCTTTTATCCGAACCATTATTGGACCTCCTGATTACCACACCAAATCTCAGTTTGGAGGTCTCCGTACGAATCCAATGATGCATGTGATTACAAAATTCAAACTCTTGCTCATTTTTAAATTGGTGCCAACATCTACTGCCTTCACAACAACACATTTGACATCCGAAGACACAACATGTTTGAAAAAAACATCGGGTGCACCATATCTAATAAAAACAATTACAATAAAACACTCAATAAGTACTAATACTATAAACAAAGCTAAAAAAAATGATAACAAACAGATACCAAAGATGCATTTTCGAAGAGTTCATACAAATTCCGGAGATGTATCTCCGAATTACACACATTTTTCAAACTTAAAACAAGATTAATGTGAGCAATGAGATTTAAAATAAATAATATTTACCTAGAATTTCAGTTTCTTTTGCTCCCTTTGATGTGATGAAACACAAAATTGAAGATTTGAAGTGAAAATGTGAATTGAAAATATCTAATAAAAACAATTACAATAAAACACTCAATAAGTACTAATACTATAAACAAAGCTAAAAAAAATGATAACAAACAGATACCAAAGATGCATTTTCGAAGAGTTCATACAAATTCCGGAGATGTATCTCCGAATTACACACATTTTTCAAACTTAAAACAAGATTAATGTGAGCAATGAGATTTAAAATAAATAATATTTACCTAGAATTTCAGTTTCTTTTGCTCCCTTTGATGTGATGAAACACAAAATTGAAGATTTGAAGTGAAAATGTGAATTGAAAATAAAAGGGGTTTTGATAAAAGTTTGGAGTAAAAAACAAATATAATTGTGTGATTATGTAAGTGTTTTATCAAATTATTTCAGAGATACATCTCCAAAAATATTTGACATCCATAGATTCATCTCAAATAAATCCATTAAACTGCGCAACTATTAATATATTTGTTAAAATAATTATGTGTTAATCTAGGATGACACTTGTTTCGTACGTCATAAAACTGGTGCATGATGCGTTTTAAAATATATCTCCAAAATCTAAGAGACATTTTCGATTTTCCATAAGATGTTTCTTCACCACATAGGATGTGATAAAGAAATTCCCTTTTAGCAATAGGTGAGAATGATTTAACCAAAACACAGCTTCTCAAAATAAGCACGGTCCTTCAATAAATAAAAATCTCAATTGTACAATATCCTACTTCAACTTGAAGGAACTTTTGCTGCAACATAACACAAACTAATGCTTCAACACACAAGTATAGTAATTTCATTATCTCTACTTAGATAGTTACCAACTGATAGTACATTCAAACTGAAGTTTCATAACACATCCAAAAGAGTTTTTCCAAGTATAAGATCATGAACTGCAATGACATTATGTGCTCGGAGTAGCTTCTTCAACGGCGCTCTTGCCGGCTTCTTCTTTTCCAACAGCAGAACCTCCCTCCTTATCATTACCATCTACTTTTCCAGAATTTGACACTTCTTGCCCTACACGATTAACAAGCAAATATTTTTAATTACGCAAACAATATGAAAATTAAGTTCTAGAGGACTACACCTTGAGGTGTTAAACAACAGGAGAAATGTCTATTTTTTTAATATTGGATATAGTTTAAATTTGATGCATTATCACTGTAAAATCTTGTACTATTACTTAATCATGCATTGCTGCATCACACAGTTTGTACAGCATGCTTACCTTCATCATCACTGTCATCAAAATCATCACCGACAGCATCATCACCCATCCCACCAAGTTGCTGCAGCACAAAAAATAATTAGGATAAACAACATTAACAAGAGAGAGGTTAAAACTGAGAACCACGTGACCATGTTACATACCGAGAAATCCATCCCTCCCAAGTCTAGGTCACCGGAACCTAATAAACAAACAGACAATAATCAGTTGATACATTAAACAAAAAGTACCCTTTATGACTTGAAAAGCAAAGTAGAACATGGTGGTTTCAACGTGTGCATACCCGCATCTTCATCTTCATCCACCCATTTATCCCAATCTACTTTCACGTAATGTGGAGGCTTCCCTTCTGCTTTCAGTAACCTTTTCCACCACTCTTCTTCTGCCTTCTGCACAACACAGAATATGCTTCTCACCCCTACATTAATTTTGCTCTCCTGAAAACACAACAGAGAATGATAAATAAAATATCTACCCCTTCAAACCCAACACAATGAAGGTGTTGGAGGCTGCAATGAAGGCAAGCCAAATGCCACAATTAAGGCGACTAGGGACGGACTGCAATTAAGGCGGAAATTCCAACAATAAGCACATGTTCAGACGAATATATTGTCTGATGTAGGGCCCTTAACATTAAGTTTTTAACTCACTGAAAAAAAAAGCATTCTTAACTATGTGACAGTGTTACAACCATGAATTGGGAATGTTTTCTCCTTACCTCTACATTAACCTTGTCAAAGAGTGGCAAATTAAGCTCATACAGATGGTCTCCAGCACCAGCAGTAGCAGAAAAAGTAAAAACACCATCTGGAGTAAGATCCACTTTTGCATTTTTGGAATCTGGCAACTGAACCGTGACATAAACTTTGTCGACCCGTTGAGCCCACTTGATCTCCGGATGGCGACTGCATTCAAGAACATGAAAATCAGATAGTAGTAAACAAGTTCACCCACCAAATCTTTCATCATAAATGTGATGACACAATTTCCATGTCCTACCAAAACCTAAATCGAATATAATATCAACATTTCTCATTCAATTATGCTAGTGATATCAAAATGTCTCTAGAAATGCAACGGAGATCATACTCATATTCATACAAGACGTGTATAAATACACTGTTTTCATTTCCACCAAACGAAACAACTATTAAACCAGTAATCAACATGTGAAAACAAAAATTAAGAAAAATCACAATAATTGCATGCGCTAGTCGTGAAATTGCAGAAAATGAAGAAGATTATCGAAAAACACAAAATGGAAATATGATCACATTTGAAAAATGAAATGAGAGAGATGAAGGATGTATAATTAAGTACCTCATATTAGTTTCAGAGAAGAAGAAGCTGTAAAACCCTAGATTCTTTGGTAACTGACTGTCAGAGACAATTGTAAACTCGTTTTCGGATTTTGATGATGATGCAATGCAAAACCTGTTGTTTCTAGATTCTTCTTCTTTTTACTAAATTGCGTAACAGCGAAAGTGGATAGAACAACACTCATCTTATAATTTTGAGACCTTTGGCCCATTTCTATTAAAGATAAATAAATGCTATCTACACCATCCTCTATACTTTTACGTCTTTATTAATTTTTTTATTTTGGATTTTTTATTGCGTTTACTGAAATTTTCAGAAAAATATCAAAAAAACTTAAAATTTTCGATAAAAATTAATAATTTTTCGATAAAAAATAATAATTTTTCGATAAAAATTTGGAGAAATATCAGGATTTTTGAAAAAAATTCAAAAATTTCGATGTTTTTTTATATTACAGAAAATTTTAAAATTTCTGATAAAGTATAATATTTTTTAAAATTTTTAAAAAATTACAACACTTTTCGAAATTTTCGATCATGTTAATTTTTTTGTTTATTGCAAAATTTAAAATATTCAAAAAAATAAAACAGATACAAGATTTTGAAAAATCTAGTATGTTAATTTTTTTATTAAAAAAAATAATAAAAAATACATATTGAAAATTTAAAAACATATTATTATTATTATTATTATTATTATTATTATTATTATTATTATTATTATTATTATTATTATTATTATTTTATTTTGAGCCAAACACCCCATATTCTTCATTTTTTTTTATAATTCAAACATTTAATATAATTTAATATTCTTTTATAGGATACTAAAATCCAACTTAACAATATCATAACTTTATTTATTTATATTACAAATATGTTATATGAATATTATTTATCTTTTATTTTTTTGATTTTATACATTTTTACAAATGAAAAATTCACTGATTTATCTTATAATAACAAATGACACTTTTTAAGATAAGTTAATGAGGTTGGTTGTTCATGCTTTAGTAATGAAATTAATAAGATATTGAGTTCATCATACATCTTGCAAATTTGTTCATTCTTGTTTCATTTGCTTCCACCCAAGCTTCACTGTTCATCTTTCTTATATTACTCCTGCTAATCTTTTTTATAAGAAATATTTCACATTTTTAGATTCATTAAATAATTAATGATCGCACCTGATAGAAAGGAATTAGTAATCTGTCACACGTCGTGAGTTGCTGCCTTCACCGGTGTTATAGAGGAGAAAGAGGGTGTACATGCAAGATGCTTCGATGCTTAAGTGAGTAACAGAACTAGAGAGAGAGAGAGAGCAAATACAGAGAAAAGGTGTAGTGAATAAGATACATGACCCTCTAGTGAAATATGATATTTATAATGTGCCCCAAGCGCAGGGCCAACAGTTACATTGCAGTGGGTTGGATTGCCAAACCCAACACAAGTAACTGTTAGGGCTTACATGGTGTAGTGAAGACCAACATGTGATCTTCGCCCTAAACCAATTGCCCTGTGATCTTTGAAAGGTGGGCTGACCAACTCTTTCGGAAGTGGGTAGTTGCCTGATGACGTGTCCCCGCGTGGGGGGTACGTGGAGTCTGTGGGCAAAGCGTGTGAGCTCTCCCCGTGCAAGATAATGCTCTCCCCGACTAGTATGCCTTGTTGAGGCTTGTACCCGACAGAGAGGATTGAGCCTTGTTGGGCCTCATCAGCATAGTGTTGGGTTGACCTTCCCGTCTGAGGGTCAGGTCTCGGCCTTATCCAAAACAGGAGCCCCATAAGTCATTGCTCATAGGTGGAGGAGTAATGGCTTAAGGGCAAGTCGAAATATCGATGACCTCTTCGGGAGATGGTATTTGCTCGATGCATAGAATCGAGAGTCGTGTACCAGGTCGGGAGCGGAGGATGCTCGACGAGACAACATGTCTGAGCCCGAAAGGGAGACGAATGGATGCGAAGCTTCTGGTGTTGCCGTCTGTCGGGAAATCATTACTTAGCTAGGGCAGCTAGGGGTAGAGGTGTTTGAGTGCCTAGGGGAGCCTCGAGTCCCGTGTTAAGATTATAAATAGGACCAAGTCCGCTTCAGTTCTCACTTTTCGCTTCTACCGTTCAAGACGTTCCCTCTTCTTCTCGTCGCGCTTCTCAAACTTCAGCACTGAGATGTCCGTCGTCCGCCTCCGTATCGTCCTCCCAGAACTGTCGTACCCAGTAAGTCTTTGCTTCCTTACTCTCGTTTTTCCTATATTTCGACAGTTTTTCCGGTGGACTTGATGAATGCCCCGGGGAGATCGTGAAGTTTCCGGCGAATCCGTCAGAACTTCTTTGAATTAGTGTAGAGTTAGGATGAAGCTCTCGGGGACAAGCAATGAAACCTCCAAGGACGTAGGGTAGTTATGGGTAAATCTCCCAGGGACAAGCAATGAAGTCCATGGGGACGTAGGATAGTTTTGGATGAACCTCCCGGGGACAAGCGATAAAGCCCCCGAGGACGTAAGATAGTTTTGGATGAACTTTTCGGGGATAAGCGATGAAAGTCTTGGGGGTCCGCTTTCATCTGTCGAGGAGGGAGAGGCCCTGTCCTTTAGGGTCTCTCCTCTTCACCTTTCACTTGATCTGCGACGGAAGGGTGGATTTGATCTGGAATATCGAATTCACCAATTTCCTCTACTTTTCAGGTGTAAATGGCTGCTTGGGTACATGGGGTTATTGAAACCGACGACGAGCCTAATTCCCCGATGGCACAGGCCGGTGAAGAGCAAATAAGGTTTGTCGTGGATTGGGCCGGAGAGGAGCCCTTGAGTGTCTCTTCTCGCTTTATCGTGGATGAGTCTGACGCCTATGCCAGTGTCGAGGACCGCTGTGAAGGTTCCCCCGTGAACTGGTAGGTGTACAAACCACGAGTAAACCATCAGATATGATTGACTTATAAGGGGATGAGGTTCCCCATGTATGAGTTTACCTTCTGGGAAGTGAGATTGCATCTGCCCTTCATCGACTTCCAACTGGGAGTTTTTGAATGACTTCGGTTGGCACCCTCACAACTACATCTTAACACGATTGCGTTCGTGCAAGCGTATGAGCTCGTCTGTCGACATCTCAACGTCGGGGACACTCTCACCCTTTTCTTCCGCATCTTCCACCTTTAAAGACAAACAATCGATGGTTGACATAGCTGGGGTATCCTTGAAGCAACCGAGGAGGCTTTTCCAGGCATACTTAGATTCCATTCGAACTTTCAATGACCGGTATTACGTTGTCAAGCCTGTCACTCACACGGTCGTGGACTCGCTTTTCAACCTCGAGGTCTGGGAAAAATATGGATAGCCGGAGGAAGTCTTAGTGCCGAAGATTCTGCTAATTTGGACGGAGGAACATTTCGACAAGGGCACAGACATCTATATAGTGCGGGCAGGCTCGTTGGATGCCGATGACTAGGTGGCCTACCAGAAGCTGGTCACATTTGTGGCTAGTTTCACCCCTGTAAAGTGCGTGAAGATGGACGATAATTTTATCCTCGACTTGAACGGGGAGATTCTTAGGGAGTCGGGATTGATCAATACGAGGCCCTCCTCGAGTGTGCATCCGACGTGGAAGCTCTGTGTCTTTTAGGTAATGGGTCCGTTTTCTGCTCAGGCCTTGTCTGTACATTTGTTGTTGGTTTGTGTTTTGCTGACTTTATTTATTTTTCTTTTGCAGGAGAAATTTCGAGCATGCACGAGCGTGTGAAGAGGTTGGTGGCCAGCAGGGGTGTGAAGAAATCTGGTAAGGGGAGGATTGCCTAGGTACAGCAGATGCCTGGTCCCGACCAGGGGTCCAGTGGCTCCTTCTCTTACCCCCAGGGCAACCAGTCCCCCTCCTTGCAGTGGATATCTAAGAGGGCGCGGGTTAATAAACCCGAGACCGTCGACCTCACCGAGGGCAGTGCCGAAGAGAGGTTCTTGCTCCTGCCCTGTCATCTGCAACCTGCGTTATTTTGTAGGGCCAACTCCCTAGTGGTGGATGTTGCCGAGACCCAAGCCATCCTGGGTGCTGACCGGAAGACGAGGAAGAAGGCCCAGACAAAGGACATGGCTGTGGTGATGGGGGTCTTTGAGGCGCCTCTGGTCCTCAACAATGAGGCTTGCTCTTCTGCCGACCTATCCAAATTGCGGGATGACCTTGCGACCGTCGAGGCAGAGAGAAACAAGCTGGAGGCTGATCTTAACCAGGCCAAAGAAAAGAGTATTGCCTAGATTAAGTTCCACGGTGAGGTGGAAAGGAAGTTGAAGGTCGCAGGTGAAGAGAGGATGAGGCTCTTGGCGCGAATTGCAGAATTGGAGGCAGTTTCCCAGCCTGCGGAGGACGAGACTACTAAGAAGAAGCTCATGGTGTCTCGGGCGGCTCTGGTGTCGAGGATCCGACAGCTCGAGCAGGATTGTGTGGGGGATCTCAAGGTGGGCTACGACAATGTTGTGGAGCAACTTCAGATCGTTAACTCGGACGTCTTGTTTATCACCGAAGGGACGGGGCCTTTCTATCAGGTCGTTGAGGGTCGTGTGGTCATGTCGGAAGCTGATGAGGGAGAAGACGGGCCGGTCGAGGTGGGCGATGAGCAGGAGAAGAATGAAGCCTCTTAGTGTCATTTTGTCTTTGTCTTTCTGGCCTGCGTGCCTATGTTATTTTACCGGCCTGCGTGCCTACCTTTGATTTATCCGTTTCTGGCCTGCGTGTCATTCTTATAATTTTTGAACAATGGGCTTTGCCCGCTATTTTGGAAATGTAGTAACTTTACTTTTATGCTGTGTGTGCTTTATTTTCTATGTTTTCTCGTTTTCTATGTATGAATTGCATTTCTATTTGTTTTCTTGCTCGACCTGTTTTGTGACCGACTGTGCGGGGAACTGGTCGGGTGATCGGAGTTGGTATATGATCGATGATGAGGTGAAGATCTCAGTCGAGGTCTTTTTCCAGGTCATGAACTTCCCATCGCAAGCTGGGTGTTCTGCCCCAATGGTACGGCA